AGAATTTTCTTCAGACCTTTTTGAGCTTCCTTCTTTCTAAATATAGGTTAGAAGTCAAGATGTCGTTTTCGGACTCTCTGTTAGTAGGGATGGACGTGAGACGGCTTGGAATTGGTTGAAAGTAAGTTCAGCAAACTGTCATCCGAGATGCTATCTGTATTGATTTTATATTAATCATTCTGATACACATACTTCTGTTTGTGTCTTGGTATGCATAAGTACTTTTTACTAAAGAAATGCTAACACATAATCAATGGGTACTGTGATACAGGAAAACTGGGACCACATTAATAAAACATACGGCTCGGGTTTCCTAATAGTTCGCTTCATCAGTGCAATTGTGTCGCAGGTTTTTGACCACTCTCCATTTGCATCCAATGCTGTTCATTTTGTCAATACTAAGCTACATCAAGAATTTCTGAATAGAACTGATTAAGATCTCCTCTTTTTTATCCTGCTTCAGTTTTCTTCCTATGAGAAGGCCGAAGAAGTAGAACAATATTTTGCTAGCCGGATGGAGCCTTACATAGCCAGGACCTTGAAGCAGAGCATCGAGAGGGTTCACGTCGATGCTAAGTGGGTGCAGAGCATTCAGAAGGAGAAACATCTTGCCAATGCTGTGAAGGAGCTAGCACACAGAAAATATTAGAACCAGCAATGCTTGTGAACCAACTATCATTGGTTTTTCTTATCTATTATCCATGTTTGCTGCTGCTTGTGTATTTAGAAATAATACGTCCAGAACTTCATTTTGAATTCTCAACATGTTCTCTACTTTTAAAGCTGAGATAATGCGAGGAAGTGCCTTAATCCTCGATCCATAAAATCTGAACTTCTCTTCTCCCGGTCTTTGAAAAATTACCTCTTTCTCATAACATACTATTGTGGCTCAATTCTCACCCAACCGGTCCATACCTAAAATAATATCAAAATTTTTCATCTATATAACATACAAGTCAGCCTCTAAAGTCAGTCCATCAAAATCGTTCTGTACCCTTTTTGCTATCCTATCCATATCAATAGTTCCACCTGATGGCATACTCACTATAGTACACTATCATTCTTTTAACATGAAGCATTAATCTTAGCTAGACATGAATTAGATATGAATGAATGTGTCACACCGGAATCAATCAAAACGTAAACAGGAATATTAAAGACGGATAAAATACCTGCAATCACGTCTGAATTTTTGGTAGCCTCATCGTGAGTCAAAGCAAACACC